GGCTGGTCTCGAACTCTTGACCTCATGTGATCTGCCTGACTTGGGCTCCCAAAGCACTAGGATTACAGGCATGAGCCACTGTGCCCAGCTTATTTTTTAAATGTCAGTCATCTTGTGCCATCTTGTGGAACATATTCTCCTGTGCTCAACCTAACATCTTTTTCATAAGATATTTGAATCCACTTATGTTTATACTGGATGCACCCATATAGCTTTAGATACTATTTCCTCCATGCCTTCTAAATAATTACATTTTCATATGTTTTTATTTGCAGGCTTTTCAAAAATAACATTGAAGTTGTGACCTATTTTGAAGTCAACTGATTATCATTTTCTTAAGTTCTTTAAGAAGTGAGTTTTAATTCAATTTCATTAAATATAGTTACTTTGAATCAGCTCTGTTTAACCTGGTTTACTTTCCCTGACATCCTTTTATTTTATCAATTCTAATTTCCTTGAAGTTTGTTTCTAAGGAAGACACAGTGATACACAGTAGTTCCAGCTGCTAAAGAGGCTGAAGCAGGAGGATTGTATGAGGGCGATAGTTGGAGACCAGCCCCAACAACATAGCAAAACCCTGTCTCGAACATATGTATATGTAGTTTCCAGATAGATGCACATCTCTGTGAAACTGCAGAAGCGAACAAGGCAGGTGAAGTTCGCTATTATTAGGATCTTGTATTGTACTTGAATGGTAGAGTGCAATGAAATAAATGTGTGCCTGACATCACAACCCAAGGGAAGAAGCATATGAAAAGAGACAACGGATTGATATGAGATGTGCAGGGCTTTGCAGGGTCCAGGCTGATGAGGGCTCCACATGTTGGATGAGGAACAGAGCTAGGACTACAGTGTGCCCATTGGATTTGTCAGAAAAGCGGTCAAAACCCAAAGCCAACAGTAAAAAAGAAAAGATGCCATAAAGAAGAGTGAGTGAAGAGTCGTCTTCACCCAATACTAAGCCATAGAAAAACACATGTGTTCAAATAAATATGAAGTGGGTACAGGAACAGCAAGCAGATCAGGACCCTGATGTGAGCTCCATGATGAGGCAGGTGGATCTATAAAGGTCTATTCAGTTGGGGGCCCTTGCGTCTGGAGATAATGTCAGCTCTACGCCGGCTGCCTGTCTGCCCAACAGCCTGGCTCTTCTCTTGGATTCCTCATTCAAGATGCATTTCCCTCAGTCATAGGAACTCACATTCTTTTTAAACTATTCTGCTTTTATTGCTCTGGATTAGAAATTTTTTGGACTGTGTCCCAGAGTGAGAAATACCTTGTACTTTATGACTCAACAGGTGTACAAACACAAATACACACACATACACAAACACAGAGAGTGGGGGGGGAAGAGAGAGTATCATGAAATCTTTGTGTATATATGTTTAACATGTATAATGTACTCTGATAGCTTCTTTTGTGGTTTATTCTTTTTTTTTTTTTTTTTTTCTGAGACAGAGTCTCGCTCTATCACCAGGCTGGAAGTCCAGTGTCACAATCTCGGCTCACTGCAACCTCCGCCTCCTGGGTTCAAGCGATTCTCCTGCCTCACCCTCCCAAAAGTAGCCGGGAATACAGGCCCGCACCACCACGCCTATCTAATTGTTGTATTTTTTATAGAAACCGGGTTTCACGATGTTGGTGAGGATGGTCTCAATCTCGTAACCTCGTGATCCACCTGCCTCAGCCTCCCAAAGTGCTGGGATTACAGGTGTGAGCCACCATGCCTGGCCCTATTCTATTTAATTCTTTCAAACCACACTCTGACCTTCTAATGGGTCCTGATCCAAGATTATGAACAACATTCCAGTACTATGCCCTCCACACCTATTTTACCATTTTAAGGCTTCTTTTTTTCTAAGGCTTTCTATCTAAGCCTTCTTTTCTGGCTTTTTTTCTTTTCCTCATTGTCAGAAAATTCTGAGACACCACATTCTCTCATTTGTTCATACAGTGTATATTTACTTGGCTACTGTCACCAACTGCACTAAATGTGGGGTGGTGAGGAATTGCATGTAACATGATCATGTCACTCACTCAGGTGCCCACAGTCTAGCTGGGGAAAATTATATGGAATGAAATAAAATTGACACAGTGATAATCCCTACTCATGAATTAAGTGCATAAAGGAAATGTCATTTAACTGTGGGAATTTTTTTAAATGGTTCACAACGGAAGTGACTCTGGGGAGTCCTGAAAGAATGGATGGAGTTTTCTAAACAGAGACATGGTGAAAATTACAGATAGACCCAGGGGGTGGGACTCAAACACAGGGAGGTGAGTGCGAACCAAAGAAATATTTTCAAATAAATATGGCATAGGCAAAGGAATAAAAATTAGATTAGGATTCTGCCAAGTGGATCATTGAACATTAAAGCTCTGCTTCTGGTGAAGCTGAAGTCAATTTCAATTTTTGGGACATCTATGTGGGAGAGGGGAGGGTGTGTGAAGGTATCACAGAGGGTGAAGCCTTGTCTTTGCAGGCGCAGAATTTTACTTTCATTCTCCGGTGGGAAGTCATAGGGTGGGGGTGGAGGGATTAAGCTGGAATATTCAATGACCAGCTTTGAAAGATAGATTTCTCTGAATTAACAAGAATATTGGCATGGAGGGGTGCCAGCCTGGGAAAGATGACAAGGAACTGAAATGAGGTCAGAGAATCGGGACCGGAAAGGTGAGAAAGGGATGGAGACATTTGAGTGACAGACGGGAAAAATCAGCCTCATCTCATCACCAGGGATAACCATTCATTTACTAATAGGAAGGAACCATGCAAAGTACTTTGTACATATATTGATTAACTCTGTGGACCACATCAGGAGGATGGACAATGCCATCCCACTCTATAGGGAAAGATATCAGCATTTATAAATTCTGTCATTATTAGCAAAATGGGTGGAAGTAGAGGTCATCATGTTGAGTGAAATAAGCCAGGCACAGAAAACATTTACATGGCAGCCCAAAATCAGGATCTCTTGGAGGTAGTGAATAGAATGGCAGTTACCAGAGGCTGGAAAGGGTAGTGCAGAGGGAAGGATGAAAGCCAGTTGCTTATGGGCACAAAACTACAGTTAGTTGGAAGGAATAAGATCTACTGTTCCACAGCACAATAGGATGACTATACTTAACAATAATTTATTATATATTTCTAAACAGATAGAAGAGAAGATATAGAGTGTTTCCAACACAAAGAAATGATGCATGTTTGACGGGGCAGGTATGCCACTTACCCAGATTTGATCATTATGCATTGTATGCTTGTATCAAAATATCACGTGCACCCCATAAATATGTGTAATTACAATACCCAGATTGATTATGCATTGTATGCTTGCATCAAAGTATCACATGTAGCCCATAAATATGTGCAATTATTATGTATTTATAAAAACTTTTAAATAATTTAGAATGACTTTGTAGGCTTTTCCAAGTCCAACAGCAGGTACAGAGCAGATGCAAAATTATAAATTTTTTTTCTGATGACAGATGTTTTGCATTTACAAACATGTACAAGCTGGAACATTCAATGACCAGCTTTGAAAGATAGATTTCTCTGAATCGATGAGAATATTGGCATGGAGAGGTGCCAGCCTGGGAGAGATGACAAGGGCCTGAAATGAGGCCAGAGAATTGGGACTGGAAAGGTGAGAAAGGGATGGAGACATTTGAGTGACAGACGGGAAAAATGAGAGGTGGAAGGAAAACAGCCTCATCTCATCACCAGTGATAACCATTCATTTAGGAAAAAGAAAGAGCCGTGCAAAGTTTTTTCACGTACATTGTTTTGCATTTACTATAATTTACACAAATATTTTACAATTGCATCTTACACACCCCCCCACACACTTTTACTGGACTTTGTGTGATTCCTTTTGTGAACTGTGGGTTTACTCCCATTTCCCCTTTTCTCTTAGGGTATTTAATCTGTAAGACATCTTGACACTATAAAGGTATCACTTTGTATTAATTATTAATTATTCTGGGCATTGGGGTATATAAGCAGGGTTGAAATGTTGTCAGAAACAGGGAAGCTTTTTTCATCACAGTCTCTCATCAACCACCCGTGTCTATCATGCCTATCATTCATCTCTTTTGTTATGCAGCAGATTTTATATATTTTGTTAAATCCAAGACACAAAATGATGATGTAAAATGGAGCCCCACGTTTACACATCCATGGGAAGCTTACAGCCTGGAATTTGCTGCCCTGTTTACATTCTTGGGGGCCACATTAATAGAGGGCTGGGAACCACTTGGGGAGATGGGGCTGTCAGTGTCTTGAAGTTTCAGCAGCAGCAGGGAGACCACCTGGTTCCTCAACACCCCGACACCACCTCTCATCACTCTCCCTCCTTCTCATCCCCCTCACTGCACTGGCTCCTATTTGAGCCTTCATTATCTGAAACAAGAACCTCCCTCAGGTCTTTGCCCTAGTCATTCCCTCCGCCAGGCACAGACTTCCTCACATATCCTCCAGCTCCCACCCATTCTTCCTTGAGGTCTCTGTTGAAATGTCACCTGGTCTGCTGGTCTTGCCTGGACACCCATAAAAAATAGCAGCCCCTAACCATTCTCTTTTGATGTGCTTTCATTTCCTTCTAAGCACCATCTAACACATCAGATGATGATGTCTTTATCAGCTCATGGTCTTTCTCCATCATTGGATAGTAAGAACATCAGTTTCTCAGCACCCTACACTCATTAGCTAGACAGTTCCTGGAGCATAGTCAGCACACAATCAATATTACTCAAGGGCATGAAAGAATTTCTCATTAAACAATACACAACCTCTTAGGGAAACGTTGAGCATAGCACAGGAATTCTGAATCAGAGACAGCTCTGAAGAGCACAGAAATTGAGACAAGTTCCATACACAAAATACAGAAATGAATATCTTGACTGCAAAATATAAATGGTTGCCTTTCAGCAATGCGAGGGATGCCCTTTTGAGTGAAACTTAGTCATGTTCTCTTTCTCTGACTAGTAGTCACCTAAACCACATGGAACCCATGAATGATACAAGGATTTTAGGATTTCTTCTTCTGCGACTTTCAGAGGAACCAGAATTGCAGCCCATTATCTTTGGACTCTTCCTCTCCATGTATCTGACAACTGTGTTTGGAAACCTGCTCATCATCCTGGCCATCAGCTCTGATTCCCACCTCCACACCCCCATGTACTTCTTCCTCTCCAACCTGTCCTTTGTAGACATCTGTGTTACCTCCACCATGGTTCCAAAGACACTGTCAAACATCCAGACACACAGCAAAGTCATCACCTATGCAGGCTGTGTCACCCAGTTGTACTTTTCCGTACTCTTTATAGGGTTGGACGGCTTACTCCTGACCGTGATGGCCTATGACCGGTTTGTGGCCATCTGTCACCCCCTGCACTACTCAGTCATCATGAACCCTCAGCTCTGTGGACTGCTGGTTCTGGTGTCCTGGATCATGAGTGCCCTGCATTCCTTGACAGAAAGCTTAATGGCATTACCACTGCTCTTTTGTACAGGCTTGAAAATCCCCCACTTTTTCTGTGAACTTGATCAGATAATCCACATTGCCTGTTCTGACACCTTTCTTAACAACCTGGTGATGTATTTGTCAGCTGTGCTGCTGGGCGGTGGTCCCCTCGCTGGGATCCTGTACTCTTACTCTAAGATAGCTTCCTCTATACGTGCAATCTCATCAGCTGAGGGGAAGTACAAGGCATTTTCCACCTGTGCATCTCACCTCTCAGTTGTCTCCTTATTTTATTGTACGGGCCTAGGGGTGTACCTGAGTTCTGCTGCAACCCACAACTCACTCTCAAGTGCAGCAGCCTCAGTGATGTACACTGTGGTCACCCCCATGCTGAACCCCTTCATCTACAGCCTGAGGAATAAAGACATAAAGGAGGCTCTAAGACAATTCTTCAGAAGGAAGAAATAAAAGGAGCATCTTTCCAGAAGTGCATGTGATTTCAAAGCTCTAACCTTCAGACTTAGACATTGTGATTCACGAATCAGATCACAGAAGGAAAAAGTCCTGCTTCTCTTCAATTTCTACAGTTTGAATTTCCTTGTTCTTGAGTGCTGTGTAAGTTCTATGCTATTTCTTTAGAAAGCTTTCTATTCTGATATCCAACCAGTTTTTTCTTTGTCCTTCTTCTAATTTCCCAGTTATTTCCAAACTAGAGTAAAAAACCTCTTGGAGATTCCTATTTGTTTAATACACTAGAGTTGTATCCATCCTAAAAATCAATTGCAGTTGGCTACTGTACGGTCATTAGCATAATTACATTGTAGATGAATATCTGAGACCACAGTTTTTCACATCTGAGTCCCTCATTTCTTTCTCTGTCATTACCTTGACTGCTCTTCCTGACCATGTAAACTTTACCATGCTAGTGTGTTCATAGATTGTCACAGCATTCTATTCTCCTCATTAGCATCCTGTGCTCTATCCAGCTCAGTGTACACACTGCCTACTATATGCCCTGGTAAAGAGAAGGAAGGCAAATATTACATATGAAATGCATGTTCCTAGTGTAGTCTACACAAAAAGACACATTTGCATTAATCTGTTGACTTCATATGGCCTCAGATTCAGAGATGACCTTAAATATAACGGACTAAAATTTTCAGTCATGCAATGATTACCATGGAAGATTTGTTTTTGATGGTGTAGGTATAGTTTGTGTCTCCACCCAAATCTCATCTTGAATTGTAGCTCCTATAATTTCCACGTGCCATGGGAGGGGCCCAGTGGGAGGTTATTGAATCTTGGCAGTGGGGTTTTCCCCTGTTGTTCACATGATAGTGAGTAAGTCTCATGAGATCTGATGGTTTTATAAAGAGGAGTTCCCCTCACATTCTCTCTTGCCTGCCACTATGTAAGACATGCCTTTTGCCTTCTGCCATGATTGTGAGGCCTCCCCAGCTATGTGGAACTGTGAGTCCATTAAACCTCTTTTTCTTTATAAATTACCCATTCTTAGGCATGTCTTTATCAGCAGCATGAAAACAGACTAATACAGTGTACATCTACTCATTAAAGTGTGGAAGCCTGTTGTCCGTGGTACAGAGGTTTGTTCATTTAGTTAAAGATTTGGTGTCATGATCTGTATTTTTTGATTGCATCATCTTACTGTTTCTGATAAAAAGTTTCCAGTGCTACAAATGTGATTTCTTGCATTGTTCTAAAAATATCCCTTCCTTTAGGAAATTGTGTCATAGCATTAAACTGGAGGTAAGTGAAGAATGTGTGTATTATCACTTGCTTTGTCTCTTTTATACTCCAAACTCTCTTCAGTCTTCATGAGCAAATGATGACTCACACAAGAGCTTGAACTTCTTCCCAGTATTGCATATAATATTAGAGACTTGTGATTCAAGACTGCAATTTGTTTCAGCAAAAATATATGGGTCCTGCCCAACTCTCCTGGTTACCTAGAAGGAATCTAAAAGTAGTCTCCTTATGATACAGTTATCTGAAGTAAATATAAATATCCATATAATTAAGATCCCTGCCTTTAAATATCAGAAAAAGCACCAAAATATGTGAGCCAGCAGAATATTCTGAATACACTGAACCCAATATAAAACTTACAAAAGGATCTGACACCTAAAAAAAAAGAATATTCTCAATATCTTGAGTTATGTTGCTTTGATTATTGTATCAGTAATCTAATCCTGCATAACAAAACATCCCAATAATAAATGGTTTAAAGTCATGCTTTTAAAAAATCATATCAGAGTCTATATTGTTTTCTCATTGGGAATTAGGACATATATATCCTGGATAGGACAAAAATATTCACCATAGGACTATCCAAACGTAGTTAGTTCTTGAATGTTGAACAGTAGGGACAATTTTTTAAACTTTTATTTTAGATTCAGTGGTACATGTACAGGTTTCCTATATAAGCAAATTGTATGTGGTGAGGGTTTGGCATATGGAGTATTTTCTCACCCAGTTAAGCAAATCTGATAGACGGGTTTTTTTTTATCCTCACCCTCCTACCACCCTCCACTCTCCAGGAGGCCCAAGTGTCTGTTGTTCCCCTCTTTGTGTCCATGTGTTCTCATTATTTAGCTCCCTCTTGTAAATGACAACATGTGGTATTTGGTTTTCTGTTCCTACATTAGTTTGCTTAGTATTATGGCCTCTAGCTCCAACCACGTTGCTGCAAAAGGACAAGGTCTCACTCCTTTTGATGACTCTATAGTATTCCATGATGTATATGTACTACATCTTCTTTATTCAGTCTACCATTGATGGACATTCAGGTTGATTCCATGTCTTTGCTACTGTAATGGGAAATCCTTCATGAAATTGGTGTAGGCAATGATGTTTGAATGAGACCTCAAAAGCATAGATAACAAAAATACAAATAGACAAATGGGGTGACATCTAACTAAAAAGCTTGTGCACAACAAATAAAATTACTGACAGATTGAAGAAACAAGCTTCAGAATGGGAGAAAATATTTCCAAACTATATATCCAAAAAGGGACCATTCAGAATATATGAAAAACTCAATAGCAAGAAACAAATAAAAACTCAAGCAAAAAATAATAATAATAAATGGGCAAAAGACCTGAGGAAACATTTTTTAAAATAAAACATACAAATAGCCAAAAATACATGAAAAGTGCTCAAAATCACTAATCACCAAGAAAACGCACATCAAAGGCACAATGAGATACCACCACATCTCATTAGAATGGCTATTATCAAAAAGACAGGAAAAGAATAATAATCCCAGCTACTCCAGAGGCTGAGGCTGGAGAATCACTTGAACCCATGAGGTGGAGGTTTCAGTGAGCCAAGATTGCACCACTGCACTCCAGCCTGAGCGACAAGAGCGAAACTCCATCCAAAAAAAAAAAAAATACCCAGAAAGAATACTAACAATGGCTGACAAGAATGTGGAGAAAGATAAAATATTGTATATTGTTAGTGGAATGTAAATGAGTACAACCATTATGAAAAACAGTATAGAGGTTCCTTAAAAAAGTAAAGATAGAACTAGAACATGATTCAGCAATGCTACTACTGGTATTTATCCAAAGTATATGACAACAGCATATCAAAGAGATATCTGCACACTCACATTTATTGCAGCACCATTCGCAATAACCAAGACATGAAATTAGGCTAAGTGTCCATCAATGGATGAATGGAATTTTAAATGTGGTACAGCTACACAATGGAAAAATATTCAGTCATATACAAGAAGGAAATCCTGTGATTTCTAACAAAATGAATAAACCTGAAGGACATCGTGTTAAGTGAAATAAGCCAGACACAGAAAGACAAATACCACTTGACATCACTCACATGAGGAATTGATCTCATAAAATTAGAGAATAGAATAGTGACTACCAGAAGCTGGGACAGTTGTGGAAGGAGGGGTGGGGAGATGTTTTTCAAAGGATACTAAATTGCAGTTAGAAGGAATAAACTCATAAGATACAGAGTACAACATGAATACTTCATACTTAATGATAACATATTGTATCATGGAAAAATACTAAGGGATGTTAAGTGTTCCCAAAATGAATATGATGTGAGGTAAAGCATATATTAATTATCTGAATTTAACATTCCATACTGTAGCTAGACCTCAAAACACTCTTTTAGATGTGATAAATACATACCAACGTACCCATCAATTTAAAATAATTAATAAATACATTTTGAAAAATTAAAATAATTTTATAAGGTGCTAATCTGAAGGCAACTTGCATAAAGAGATACAAATATATCTCTTACAGCAACCAAATGTTTTATAAATGAATAATGATATGACAGCTCTTAACCTGTTTTAAACGTATGAAATTTCTTTTTTTTTTTTTTAAATAAAGTCAACATTTATTTATTTATTTATTTATTTTTCCCCCAATGAGGTTTAGCCGAGGAGCGATTATTGCTAATTGAAATTTCTTATTGTTTTGGTAAAAGCATCATGAAGCCAAAGGATGTAGCACCCACGGTTTTCTATCAGAAGAACACAGCACCCCCTGTTGAAGAGGGGAACAGCAATTTTCTGGAGGTATCAAGGGCTTAGTTCACATCACAAGTCAGATTCTTGGAGACCCAAGAGACCTAGTCAAAACAAGTTCCTCAGTTTAGACTTTGGAAAAGAAACTTCCTTTAGGGTTGGTTTAAGTTGTTAGGAGATTAGGTCTCTGGAAGTAAAGCAAGTCCATGGAGAAGGAGTAACGAAGGCTGCATTAACCTCAGATTCAATATGGTGTCTTGGGAACAGAGCATGCAGAAAAAAATTTCTTTCAATGCAGGGGAAAATCCCAAAGGAAAATGATGTAATCAGGTTGGAATAACAAGAGGAAATGTGCCTCAGGTTTACAAAGCTGTAAATTTTGTACAGATTTACAAAGCTGTCAATTTCTCCCCTGCTGCTGTTGCTCAGCATATGCAACCTTGGGTTCAATGAGACATGGTTGTTTCCTTTGGAGTCCTTGATCTGGCTCAGCTACCGATGCTTTCCTGTCTCTTACTGTCTCAGGACAAAGCTTCAGTCTTCATCATTGACCATCCGGGGAGGTAGTCACACATCCACGTGGATGCCTTCCTCTCAGAAGACCCAATGAGGTGAGTCCAAGAACCCAGTAGGTACTGTAGGAAAGGGTCAGGGAGAACGCAGTCCACAAACATGGACTCAAAGTCATCTGAGAGCCAACCCAGCCAAGCCCAGAGAAGAGAAATTGCTTTGGTTGTTGGCTCGCTTGCTTGATAAAGTATTTGATTCATGTAATTGTTTATGATGCTAAAAAGAGAAGCAAACATTGAACTCAGCAAGGAGGGTGATTCCTGACAGTTAAGTAATGGTCACGGAGGCCCAATGGATGAGGAAATGGGAGAAATAAAGTGGTTCCAGTAAAAGTAGAATATATGCCCAAGGATTTTGCAAATTTTTCTCCCAA